CGACGTAAGCGAAAGTTGGACCGCTTAATTCGTTTGTCTCGCGCGCTCGCATTTATTACTAGTTTCAAACGTTTGGGTTTAAAAAGTATGGTTTAGGAAGATTTTTTTAACTTTTTTGATTTTTTTGACTTTTTTTGTTTGAGAAGAGGTAATGATTATGAATTGAATGTAATATTTTATTTGTTGTGACTAAAATAATTTATTTTGTCTTTTAACTATTTTAGCCACCAATATCTTGCCAAAAAATGAGTTGTTGTCGGTTGGACAATTTGAAATGATCAACCGGGCATGTTATTAGTAATTTTCAATGGCTCTTATACATTCCATTAGTTATTTAGAATTAGGCAAGTTTGACTAAATTAAAAAAATGTTATTTCATTTTTTTATTTTTTTTTGGGTCACATCAAATCCATTTCTCTTACTCTACTTTTCTATACATTAATACAAAAAAAGAAAAGTCATTTTTATCTTCAACTTAGTCTTAGTTATTAGTTCTTTTAGGGTAAATGTTAACAAGAAAGTATAATAAATTTATAATTTAATCGACTCGCAAGCACACGTATAAAAAAGGGAAAATAATATTATTTTTTATATTATTAATGAATTATTAATAATGTCAATGAATTATTTTTTTAAAAAAATTAATATAATATATTAAAAAATAAATAGTGTAATTTAACTATTTTTATTGACTACTTCGCTATACCGTCCACTTTAATGAATTTTGCTTCTTGCGCGGCTTGAGTTGGCGTGTAAGAAATCAATTTGAGTAGTGAAACCCAAAAACTTTTTTTTTTTTTTTTCAATGAGAACGAAACCCAAAACTTTAATGAGAAAATATGAAATGGTTGGTTGTTACTCGTGGGGTCAGCTCGACTCCACTTGAATGATGCGTGTCACTCAACTGTTGTCATTTTTACGCATCCTATTTTGTCACCCTTATACGCTGTTTGGCTGAAAGATTTTGAAAAAAATTTAAAAATAAAAGAAGAAATATAAATAAAATATAAATAAAATATGCATATAATTTTACTTAATTTTAAACATTTTTTTTTTTTTAAATTTTTATTTCAAATCTCTTAATCAAAAACAACGTTATCAATCGGTGTGTCAATTGACATGTGTCAATTATTATGTACAAATTCAATAATTTAAACTAATTTAAATTCGATAAATGTAAGCATTATTATTAAAAAAAGAAAAAAAATAACATGACAGTTGATGAGGAAAAAGTAATTACAAAATGTTAAAATATATTATAAAAATTAATAATTATAATTATAATTTTGTTTTATTAATTCGTAATTAATTTACACGAAGACAATGTCAGTATAATTGGCCAAAAAATTTATTATAAAAAGTTAATTTATGATTTCTATTTTTTTAAAAGTTTTTTTTTAATAAAAAAATTAAATAAATTTAATTAGCAAATGAAAGTGTTTGAGATTTGCATTTAAAAAAAAAAAAAATTAGACTTCGAGTCTACTTGACAAGGTGAATCAAAAGATTAAAAATTCTAGAAGAGGATAGATTGAAATTTTTTTAAAAAATCAGCATAATTTTGAAAAAAAATACTAAAAAAAAAAAAAAAAAAAAGAGAAGAATATATGACTTATTTTGAAATTTCCAAATAGCCCGTACTGAACTTTCAACTTTGATCAACTTAATTTTTTACAAGTATGATATACTCAACAAATCTTAAAATGTGAACGATTTGAATCATCAAAATTGGACATAAAAGTGGGCCCAATAACCTAGCAAGTAGGAAGTTAAGTATGAAACTCAATGAGGGGATCCTGATTCAATTTTTTAACGGGGACAATTACACTAAGACTGTGTTAGTGTAAATTAATTTTAAATTAATGAAAAAAAAACAAAATTATAATTATAATTATTAATTTTTATAATATATTTTAACATTTTGTAATTACTTTTTCCTCATCAACTGTCATGTTATTTTTTTTCTTTTTTTAATAATAATGCTTACATTTATCGAATTTAAATTAGTTTAAATTATTTGAATTTGTACATAATAATTGACACATGTCAATTGACACACCGATTGACTTGACAAGACAAGCCTCCGGCAAACCGTTCAGGAATGGCAGATGGCAAACACTGTGTTCCTAGGCGCACCAATGCACATGCAATGCAAAGAAACACATAAATGAGATCAAAACAGGATATCATGAGTTTGAGTCAAGCTCTCTAAATTTCCCCAGCAGAGTCGCCAGAAACTAGGAATGGCAACGGGGCGGGGCGGGGCCGGGGATCACACTCCCCGTCCCCGATCCCCGATGCTCGAATTTTCCCCGGCCCCGGCCCCGGCCCCGATCCCCGACGGGAACTCATAGCCCGGTCCCATCCCCGCCCTCGATCGGGGATCGGGGATCCCCGACCCCGAAAAATCCCTGATTTTTTTTTATCTATAAAAATCTGTAAATAATGAACAATGAACATCATAAATAAATTTATCATCTACACACAACCAATGACGGAGATCAACAGATATATATATATAGATATATATAATCAGATATATATCATCTACACAGAACCAATATATATATATATATAATCAGATATATTTGTATAAACAGATCTATATAGTCATATATATATATAATATACATATATGTAAACCCTAGATCCAACCCAGATACGGAGGAGCTCGGCGAAGATCGGCGGCGATGACGGAGATCAACCCAGATATGAGATCTGAGATCTGTGTATCTGTGAGATCAACACAGATCTGAGAAAGAGAGAGTGGTGACTGCGATTGCGACGATGGCCACGATCTGTGACGGTGGAGAGGTGCGAGAGTAGAGAGAAGCATCGCGGAGGCATGGCATCGCAGACAGTGATGGAGGCACTGAGGAGGCACTGTGTATCTGCGAGAGTGAGAGAGAGTAGAGAGAAGCGAAGGAGAGGCACTGTGTATGAGAGAGAGAGAGAGAGAGAGAGAGAGAGGAGAGAAACAGTTTGTGTCCAAGCCCTAACACAATACACATATATTATATATATAAACGGGGGTATATTAGTAATTTCATATCGGGGAACCGGGGCGGGGATCGGGATCGGGGATCGGGGCCGGGGTCGGGCCGGGGCGGGACTTGAACACTGATCACCGTCCCCGGCCCCGAACAGATCGGGGATTGATTTTCAAATACCGTCCCCTCCCCGTCGGGGGTATTTTTCGGGGAAAAACCGCTAAAATCGGAGTCGGGGTCGGGGATCCCCGTCGGGCCGGTTTCAAATTGCCATCCCTACCAGAAACTGTAGACGCGCCCGCGTTGGGAGGCTCGTGCTACAGTTCGGACTCGATTTGTGTCACGGTTCTAAGTCTGAACCAAAGAGTCCAAATCCGGCAAATCGTTTTGAGAAAAACAGATTTTTTTGAAAGAAGTGCCAAACATGGACTGCTTTGCCAGATACAGAGTCGCCACCTAAATATTTTAAAATGGGGAAATTTAGAGCGAAGTAGTCAATAAAAATAGTTAAATTACACTATTTATTTTTTTAATATAATTATATTAATTTTTTTAAAAAAATAATTCATTGACATTATTAATAATTCATTAATAATATAAAAAATAATATTATTTTCCCTTTTTTTATACGTGTGCTTGCGAGTCGATATAATTATAAATTTTATTATACTTTTCTTGTTAACATTTACCCATAAAAGAACAATAAAACTAAGACTAAGTTTGGGAAGACTAAATAAATGTACTTTTTGACTTTTTTTGTATTATGTATAGAAAAAGTAGAGAGGAAATGTTGATTGATGTGACCCAAAAAAAATAAAAAAATGAAATAAATACATTTTTTTAATTTAGTCAAACTTGGCCTAATTCTAAATAACTAATGGAATGTATAAGAGCCATTGAAAATTACTAATAACATGCCCGGTTGATCCATTTCAAATTGTCCAACATGAACAACAACTCATTTTTTGGCAAGATGATTGGTGGCTAAAATAGTTATAAAAGACAAAATAAATTATTTTAGTCACAACAAATAAAATATTACATTCAATTCATAATCATTACACTCTTCTCAAACAAAAAAAAGTCAAAAAAATCAAAAAGTTAAAAAAATCTTCCTAAACCAAACTTTTTAACCCAAGTTAAAATAACAAAAACAGCCAAAAAAATTAATCCACTTCCCAGACCAACTCTTAAACGTTAACTTCGTTCTAATTTCGACAATAATTCTTTTTCCTTTCCTGACAGGGACAAATGTGTGAATTATCAAGCATCGAAGAATTTATTAATTAATTTGACAAGACACTTTTCTTGTTCTTTTTTTCTAAAAACACCTTTTTAAAAAAATTATTTTCTTATTTTCTTATTTTTTATTTTTAATGAAATTTTTTAATATTTTAAGTATTTTTTTTTTAATAAGTAAAAAAATTGTGAATTTTTTTTAAAAAAATTCAATAAATACTAAAAATATAAAAAAATTATAAAAATTCAATATATTTTTTTGTATTTTTATGCATTTATTAATTTTTTACATTTTAAATACATCTAAGTAAAGTACATCTAAAAAAAATTTTAAAAAAATGTTTAAAATTTAAAAAATATTTATTAAAAAAAACGACAACTAAAAAACTTAATTTTTAAAAAATTTAATCCAAAAAATTTAAACCAAACACACTGGATAATTCTTTTTCCTTTTTGACAGGAACAAATGTGTGACAATTAAGCATTAAGGAATTTATTAATAAAAAAATTAACAATTAACGTGACACAAATCAAATATGAAGTTAACATATATTATTAAAAATGACATGAATATGTAATATGAAAATGATCAAATATGTGGATTAGATAAACAATTTGTTGTAATTTTCACCAAAGTAGGTCATCACTTGATTAAATTTAGGTTTGTACAAAAACACAAAAAATAAGATTTTAAAATCAGTATAAATATTTTTATTTTCTTGTTTGAGATAATCTGGCCTTTTCATTTAATAGTTTGAAGTCAATTTAGTAAATAATATGATGATTTAGTTTTTAAATTAAAAAAATGTAATTGAGTTGGAATTAAATATTTTTATGAATAATTTCATTCAATAAAAATAAATTTCATAAAGTTATAACTTCTTGAAAAAAAAATAATATTCAAACATTTGATATTTTTAATTAAGTGCTACCTTTTTGAAAGGATAAGATAATAAAATACGAATTTAAAATGCAACCATGATTCAAAATTTTAATTTTGATACTTTGAAAGAACACTAATGATATGAAAAAAAAAAAAAAGTCAAAATTAAAACATCACACCACAGTATCAAACCAAACACACTAAATGAAATCTTTTTTTTTGTACAACTTTGATGTATAAGAAGAACTTGCACCAAATACGGTAATAACTTGCCCACAAGAAATTTGCACCATGTTGAAAATGCAAATATTTCTAACAATTCCACTGATTTACAATTTTTCAAAAAAAAAAAAAAAAAATCCAAGCTAAAGCATCACATCAAACTGGATCCCACATACTTCCATGTCATTAGTGCATGGTTTAGAACTCATTTTCTAGAACTCTCAAGCATTTTTCAAAAAAAAAAAGTTGAAGGATTAGAGCTGTAAAGCATTTTTCTTTAAAATAACAAAACAACGCTGGTGTAGTAAAATAAAAATGAAAATACACCGGTTCTCTTTTTCTATTACTTTTTTCTTAAAATAAAAACATAAACATTGAAAATAATAATAATAAATCAATCATACCCAAATTTCTCCTTCATTTTCATTTTACTTTTTTTTATTTTTTATTTTTTATTTTACCCTTTACCAATTTTGCCGTTGCTTAGCAAACAATGTAGCCAGAAAAACAGAAGTCAATTAATTCTATTTTCACGAGTTTAAAAAAAAAAAATTAATTCTATTTTCCTACATGCTGTCAGCAGCCAAACAGAAAGTACTCACAGTAATCTCCAGAGCAGAAAACAAACCTTGCATATCGACATGAAATCGTGATCAGTCTCGCGATCTCCAATTCCAATATCAGGCGATTCGTTCCCAAACTCTTTCAAAACCGCCAACTTCTTCCATTTCCCCACCAAAATCCCCGGACTCTTCACGAATCCAGTAGCTCTCTTCGTCTTCGGATTCACCTCGATCTCCGTCCCCAACACCTTATCTCCTCCCAAGTAATCCCTCACGAACGGCTCAACCATCACCGTCGGATTCGCCGTAACCACCACTTTCCTCTCACACTTTTCGAACACATCGTAGCTTTCGGCCCTCACGTCCGCCGCGTAGAACCTCGGCAGCACCGCGCGAGAGACGAGCTCGATGTCGCGGATCTTGAGTCCGGCGTAGGAGATGAAGATGAGCGCCTGGATAGCGAGGGCTTCGGAGACGAAGATGTATGCGATTGCGATGAGAGGGAAGGAGAGGAGGAGAACGAGGCCTCGGAGGAGACTACCGGCTTCTACGGCGACGAGCATGAAGTAAGGGTAAGGGAAAGAGGAGCTGCCGATGAGGAGTGTTCCGTCGAGGTCGGCGGCGATCGACCTGTGTTTCACGGCGAAGACGTCGCATGATGTGATCGCCGGAAAGAATTTCTTGCCGGCGGTTGATTTTTCCGGCGACATGGCTCTCTCTCTCACGGTCTCTATCGACAACTTGTATATCTGTCTCCCTTGTTGGTGAAGAAGAGGGAAGGTCTGGCTTTAAAAGCGGGGAGTTCACGTGAAATGACAGAACTACCCCCCGAATTTTGTTTTCTACGTTTGAGAAATTTTGGCGGTTTCTAGATGAAATTTTACTTGACTGCCCTTTCCAACTAGGGGTGTGTTTGATGTTTCTCTTAAAGCCCATTTGAAAAGTCGGTTGGTTTTTTGATTTTTTTAATTATTTTAGTATGGGGTTAAAAAGTTTGATTTTGAAAGAATTTTTGATTTATTTATTTTTTTTTTGAAAAAAAGAATGTAATAATTATGAATTTGATATAATATTTTATATTATTTAATTAAAAAATTCATTTTATCATGTGCAACCCACTTACACCTTACACCTTACACTTACACCTTACACTTACACCTTATACTTATACTTACACCTTACACTTACACTTTTTGTGTAAGTGGCACATGGTGTGCACTTGCACACTTAAGAAAACTCCTTCTCTTAAAGCCCATTTGAAAAGTGGGTTGGTTTTTTGGTTTTTTTAATTATTTTAGTATAGGGTTAAAAAGTTTGATTTTGAAAAAATTTTTGATTTTTTTTTTTTTTAAAAAAAGAATGTAATAATTATGAATTTGATATAATATTTTATATTATTTAGTTAAAAAATTCATTTTATTTTTTATAATTATTTTAGTCAAAAAAAAATCTCAAAACCAACTTTCGAAACGGAGGCTTAAATTCTTGTGAAAGTTGACCCAAGTTATAAAAGAGCGTTGGAGATGATTGTTTTTGGCTAAAATAATTAATAAAAATAAAAATAGAAAGTTATTGGGGGATGCACCAATAAATCCCAAATTAATAACTTATGCACTGTTTAGTCCTAAAAGTTTTCTTATAGACTGAAAGGTCCCATTACAATGTTAATAACATCAGATACAATGTTAATAACATCAGAGTCATGTTACAAACATTGGATTTCAAACATGTAATGTTCATCAAATTTCAATAATGTTTGAAAATTTAGGATGAAAAACATTTAATGTTCATCAGATTTCAATAAATTTTGAAATTATAGAATGAAACATCAGATCATTTACATCATTCACATCATGGTGATGTAAAAATGGGACTAAATGGAGCATAAGAAAACTTTTAGGACTAAATGGTTCAACGTTTCAAAAACTAGGACTTATGGGTAAATTTTCCAAGTTAAAATAGTAAATAAGATAAATTTTCATATTTTATATATTAATTAATTATTTTTCTCTTACAATTATCTATTCAATTCTATACATACATGGGACTAAATGGGTTAAAAAATTCCTTCATGGACTTCTTGGGTTAAAACACTTCTAAATTGGACTTATCAATAAAAATCCCAAAAAAAAATCACAAATAATCCCAAACATAAATTTTATCCATCTAATAAAATAACAAAAAAGAAATTTCAAACAATGGCTAAGTGTGAGTGAGATGAGATTTAATATTTGAGTTAAATGAAGTTTGTATATTGCAGTAATCTAACTCTAATTAATTTATTAACCATCTAACTTTTATCCATGTAACCAAAAAAAAAACTATACAAATAATTTTTTGTAGAAAAAAAAGTTGCATTGTGTATTTTTTTTTTTTTCTTGACAATTGTTATCTATCTATCTATATCTATATCTATCTATATTCTATATATCTATCTATCTATCTATACTATATATTAAGCAAAAAAGATTTTTAACCCCAAGTCTTGTGGGAGTTCCAACCTCCCAATCTAAATTTCTTGATTTTTTTATTTAAAAAAAAAAAAACTTAGCATTTATTAACTTCTCTCAACCCTCAAGTCTTACCCTCATAATAACACTTTAATGTATTAAGAACAAGTATAAAAAAAATTCTTTGAAATCCAACACATATGAATTCCTTGAAAAGTCCCAACACATATGATTATTATATCTCATAATAACACTTTAATGCATTAAGAACAAGCATAAAAAAAAATTTCTTGAAAAGTTCAACACATATGATTATTATCAAAATATTAAACTTTAATATAATATAAAAAAAGAAAAAAAAAGACATTTAAAAAAAAAGA